GATAGAGATAGATGTTAGTGGATAGAGAGAGTAAGGGAAGATAGGGATAGATGTTAGTGGATAGAGAGAGTAAAGGAAGATAGAGATAGATGTTAGTGGATAGAGAGAGTAAGGGAAGATAGGGATAGATGTTAGTGGATAGAGAGAGTAAAGATTGGGATAGATGTTAGTGGATAGAAAGTGTAAAGGAAGATAGAGATAGATGTTAGTGGATAGAGAGAGTAAGGGAAGATAGGGATAGATGTTAGTGGATAGAGAGAGTAAAGATTGGGATAGATGTTAGTGGATAGAGAGAGTAAAGGAAGATAGGATAGACGTTAGTGGATAGAGAAGTAAAGATTGGGATAGATGTTAGTGGATAGAAAGAGTAGAAGGGATAGATGTTAGTGGATAGAGAGATAAAGAGATTGTTAGTGGATAGAGAGAGTAAGGGAAGATAAGGATAGATGTTAGTGGATAGAGAGAGTAAGGGAAGATAAGGATAGATGTTAGTGGATAGAGTAAGGAAAGATTGGGGTAGATGTTAGTGGATAGAGAGAGTAAAGGAAGATAGGGATAGATGTTAGTGGATAGAAAGTGTAAAGGAAGATAGGGATAGATGTTAGTGGATAGAGAGAGTAAAGGAATATAGGGATAGATGTTAGTGGATAGAGAGAGTAAAGGAAGATAGGGATAGATGGTAGTGGATAGAGAGAGTAAAGGAAGATAGGGATAGATGTCTTGATGCACGAAAGAAATGATTAGGAAGTATAGATCTTGGGAACTGTTGATAAATATACGAATAAAAATAAAGATAGAATATTTGGTAATATTTTTAGGAGGTGTGGGTGAAGGAAAGTTGTTAAACGATAATAAACAGCTGAAGAATTATAGCGTCTTGGAGTTCCGGCATTTCTTACACTTCAAATATTCAGTCAAACAAGTTTTAATTACATCGACGTTTTTCGTGATTACGTGACTCGTTTCCATCCAGAGTCGAGGAAGAATTCTATCTGGTGTAGTCTCAGCTAGCTAGAGATTTCTCCGTGAAGATGTGATTTGTTTTACACTAACCGAGACACATATTAATGTCTTATTACTAACACACTGTTATATTTTAAAGTTAAATTTGTATAGAAAGGTTAATTTTTATGGGATTATGTTACAAAAATGACCTAATATATGAGGTTCGGTTACTCATTCAGCCGTAATTCAACAAATGTACTGCATGTGATATAGAGCAATGATGCAGTACTGTACATACCTTAACAATGGTATAATGGGATACTTTTGAAATGTAATTTTTTTTACAAGTTTTCAGGGGTCATAGGTCACCAGAAATAGATATTTTTAGGTCTAGGCATATTACATGAGAGTCGACATAAATATACTTGATAGCCAGCAAACACGCAGTACAGTAAATTTATGAGGATGTTCTACCATTTTACAGGGGAACACAAGTCAACATTAAATCATGTAGAAGTACAGATGTTAACTCATGAATCTTAATGTTTTTTTTGTGATGGCAAAGTTAATAATAGTGTTTCCCGATATAGAACTACCTGAATATGCGTACATTATTATTATATACAGCTGTGATAATTGAATAAAAAATCTGATAGGCTTTTGGGTCTAGATTCATAAAGGTTTTGTTGAAATGTTCTCGGAATTGGCGATGTAGACACAAATAATTAGTTCACTTAACCTAAAGCACGAAAATATCCTTCAAAATGAAACTAAAATTACACTGAACTTTCACCTCAACTGTGGTGTGTCTGCAGTTCCCACATTTTCTATATTTTTCGAGTATTTTTGCTTCCTGTGTTTTCTAAAAGTGTTCTTAATAGCTAGAAGGTAAGATTGCTTTATACTGTAACTATAACTTTTCTGTATTGTATGAGCGAAGATGGTGAAGTTTTGGTATTATTTAGGGAGCTAAGGTGAAGTTTTGGTATTATTTAGGGAGCTAAGGTGAAGTTTTGGTATTATTTAGGGAGCTAAGGTGAAGTTTTGGAATAATTTAGGGAGGAAGTTTTGGAACAATTTAGAGGTTTTGGTATTATTTAGAATTGGAACAATTTAGGAGCTAAGGTGAAGTTTTGGTATTATTTAGGGAGCTAAGGTGAAGTTTTGGTATTATTTAGGGAGCTAAGGTGAAGTTTTGGTATTATTTAGGGAGCTAAGGTGAAGTTTTGGAATAATTTAGGGAGCTAAGGTGAAGTTTTCACCTTATTTCTGTTCTATGGAATATTATTTATCCGTTTTATTCACGAAAAACACCGTTCGGGCAAAACAACTTCCAGCCAAACACGAAAACTTTTGTTTGATCTTATATAATTGATCCCAATTAAACCATGGCAGTGTTCAGCTCAGCCTTTAGGACGATATCTCTGAAAGCTGGGTCAATGACATGACTACGATGGACTAAAACAAGGTAGCTTCCACAAGTTCCTCAACAAGACAGAACAAATGGTTCTCCGAAACGAACATAAATAAAATCAAAGGATGGACCGAACAGAGTACACACAGAAAATAATAATTATGTGTTGTGAGTTTACTTCTGGGGAGTCAACTTTTGATTTATAACAAAGTGATCACGTATTAACTTGTGATATTTAAAGGGGTCAGGGCATGAGTGAACGTTTTAACACATTGATAACGTATATATATATATATATATATATATATATATATATATATATATATATATATATAAGGACAAAGGAAGCTGTACAGAGACTGGAACAAGACGAGACAGCTCTTACCTCCCACTGAGATAATGGTAACTCATCAATCTTCGAGTACCATCACCTTGACTCCATTTGACTAGGACGCATTCCGACTCACGTGAACATTGAACTACCACCATAAGATGTAGTGCTGTACGCTATTGACTGAGAACCTGTTGCTAAAACGTTAAACTATTTTATTGTAGTAAAAATAGGGGAAATTGGCAGTTATCAGAGGCAAACCACCGAACGTTAACATTGTTCTCATTATTTTCTTCTGTATTGTTCTCGCTAATCAGCTCCATTGATCCTCATCCCCTCTGATTGAAATTAATGTTTGCTGTCCCAAATTGGCAACAAGAAATCATATCCAGACACGATATTGTTGTTGGGTCTTTGTATGTGCGTGGTGGTGGTGGTGGGTTGAGTGCGCGGTGGATGGACTCTTAAACGCACACATCACACACACACACACACACACGCACACGCACACTTTTATGCAAACTTTGACAACCACACCAATTCAAGAGCGCTCCCACTAAACCCTCACATGCATACGTAATGACAAAATTCCGTCCATAATGCATAAAAAATTCACGTTTACTAATGGTACAGGTCGAGACATTGGAATCGCTTAGGGGAGGTTTCTTGCCTTAGTTTTTATTATTATTATTATTATTATTATTATTATTATTATTATTATTATTATTATTGTTATTGTTATTGTTATTGGTCTTGTCATCTCAGAATGATTGGTATGCCTGGTTCCAAAGTGACACTCAACATTTCGTATTTATAGGTGGAAGTAAGTAATTTAATTTGCAATAAAACTTCCTCAGAGTAATGTTCAGTTTTGTGATATTGTATGACGCTTAGAGCTTCGAGAACTTTATAGTGACTACCAACATGCATTTCCTCTTTTTGTATAACACTTTTAAAGCAGCAGATTCTGATAATCAAAAAAGAACATTTTACGCATAACAAACACCTCACACTTTGTTAAATTACACAAAACATGAAATTGAATACTGAATACAGTTTTAATTAAACTAAACTATAAAAAAATACCAGTACGCACAGGTGCATGAAAGTCTCTCAAGAAAACAATTACTTAATCAGACTGTAAAAACCCTTACCTGAATGATCACAATACAGAAGACAGTTACTTATACCTCACAAAATACTCAATTGGGACTCAAGGCTTCAAGAAACAATCAGTTGAAGTCTTGTATATTTTTCATGGGAACAAAAATCCAAGTACTACCGACCCAAGATTGTTCCAACATTATCAAGCACAACCGATAACATACAAATTAGTAAATACTGTATATAAGGGTTAATGTATATAATGTGGACACCGTATATGTATTTACAGTATATATGTGATCGATCCAGGGTGGGAGGGAAACACGGGTGAGAGAACACACAACCCATTTTAAGAGAGAATACAGTTTACAGTACTCTGAAGGTGGGTTTTGTGTAGCCCTAAACGTTAAAGAAATAAAGCAACATAACTCTTTCTTGTGTTTACCATCAAACTGTGTGCATGTGTATATTGTGAGAAGATCAGCCTTCAAAGACGACAATATATATATTTTTGACCCATTTCCACTCTTAGTTGTTTTGAGCTGGCTAACAATAGCTACCACACGCAGTAGCTCACCAATTAGTTCAACCTGTCCGATAAAAATTCGTGGTGGTCGGGATTTACACAACAGTTTACCTCCTCCTGAATTTACCGGCTCTTATTCAGTTGTTCCTGGTCACTCATATGTACTGTGGTCTTCTCCATTATTCAACTCATAATACTTCTTTCATTTATTGTGTCTCGTTAGTCTGAGTGTAGGGATTTATATTTTGATAAAGCACTGTTCATTTTTCTTGTACTGTATTTAACTTTTACCATATTGTTTTTATGTTAATATAATTTATACAGAACATACACTTATTGCTAGAACTAGAATTTAAAGAGTTATGACGGAAAATAAAACTGAGGGATTGACCAACACCACTAGACATTAATAAAGGAAAATTCAGCATTCAGGTAGTTTTCAGTCATGTATGGTGTATATACAGTATATATATATTGACTGTAATTTAACATAATGTACATATTACACGTTGAAGGATATTAGTTTACGGAATATTTATAAAACATGAGAAGCGACACGGATCTAGGAATACGTTTCTCCCCGACATCGTTTATTTATCTCTTCACGGAACTACACAACTCTCTTCTTGTGTAGACTTTTATTATTTTATTCTCATTCACACAGACCGTTACATTATATAATGTTACGTTTCCATGGTGTGTTCAGCGAGGAGTATGACCAACTGAGTGTTAGTGTCGGGTACAAAGTCGACCGTGTTGGTGCTGGTGTGTGTGTGTGTAGCTTCCCTCCCTTCCTCCTGCAACAACTAAGGTCTTTAAGCGTAATTAGTCTATCAACAATGAAAAACTGTGTTCATAATTATACAGGTATAGTAATAATACAAATAATGGACTCTTCCCCCTTCCGCTGTTGATCTAAGTATTTCAGATCAGGTACAGTTAATTCCATGTATGTATCGATGCTTCGTGTTGTTGATGTGATGTTATTTTTTCCCCTGCAGGTGTGGGCGGCGTGGTAGAGGAAAGTGGCGGTGGTAGTAGTGGTGGTAGTGGTCAGACCCAGAAGGAGGCGGTGCAGGTGGTGGCGACTCCTGAAGTACCTTGCAACGCTACGTCCAGCATGAAGGTGTTCCAGTGTGGTCAAGGGGAGTGTATCTCCTGGGAACTGAGGTGCAATGGGGATCCGGACTGTGGTGACGGAGGCGACGAAGCTGTCAAGGAGTGTGGTGAGTGTGATGATGGTGGAGTGTGTCAAGGAGTGTGGTGAGTGTGAGATGGTGGAGTGTGTCAAGGAGTGTGGTGAGTGTGATGATGGTGGAGTGTGTCAAGGAGTGTGGTGAGTGTGATGATGGTGGAGTGTGTCAAGGAGTGTGGTGAGTGTGATGATGGTGGAGTGTGTCAAGGAGTGTGGTGAGTGTGATGATGGTGGAGTGTGTCAAGGAGTGTGGTGAGTGTGATGATGGTGGAGTGTGTCAAGGAGGTGGTGAGTGATGATGGTGGAGTGTGTCAAGGAGTGTGGGTGAAGGAGTGTGTCAAGGAGTGTGGTGAGGGATGATGGTGGAGGTGGCCAAGGAGTGTGGTGAGTGTGGATGATGGTGGAGTGTGTCAAGGAGTGGTGAGTGTGATAATGGTGGAGTGTGTCAAGGAGGTGGTGAGTGTGATGATGGTGGAGTGTGTCAAGGAGTGTGGTGGAGTGTGATGATGGTGGAGTGTGGTGAGTGTGATGATGGTGGAGTGTGTCAAGGAGTGTGGTGAGTGGATGATGGTGGAGTGTGGTGAGGTGGTGAGGTGATGATGGTGGAGTGTGTCATGTGGTGAGTGTGGGTGAGGTGATGATGGTGGAGGGGTCAAGGAGTGTGTGGTGAGTGTGATGATGGTGGAGTGTGTCAGGTGAGTGGTGGTGAGTGATGATGGTGGAGTGGTGGAGTGTGATGATGGTGTGTGGAGTGTGGTGAGTGTGATGATGGTGGAGTGTGTCAGAGTGTGTGGTGTGATGATGGTGGGAGGTGCCAAGGAGTGTGAGTGTGTGATGATGGTGGAGTGTGTCAAGGAGGTGGTGAGTGTGATGATGGTGGAGGTGTGTGAGATGATGGTGTGTCAAGGAGTGGTGAGTGTGATGATGGTGGAGTGTGTCAAGGAGTGTGGTGAGTGTGATGATGGTGGAGTGTGTCAAGGAGTGTGGTGAGTGTGATGATGGTGGAGTGTGTCAAGGAGTGTGGTGAGTGTGATGATGGTGGAGTGTGTCAAGGAGTGTGGTGAGTGTGATGATGGTGGAGTGTGTCAAGGAGTGTGGTGAGTGTGATAATGGTGGAGTGTGGTGAGTGTGATGATGGTGGAGTGTCATATGTTTTTGTTCCTTCCTTTTGCCATCATGCCCAAAATATATTTCATTAGTGTGACCTTTATCGGCATTAAATTGGGTAGACCACATTAAGCAGTAACAAGCTTTGTTTTCATTGCGTCTTGAACAGCTTAGATATATTATTCCTGGTAATGGCATTGTTCTGGTCTCCGTGTGGGGGTCCGCTTCATCGTGATATATTCCTCCCATTATCTTGGACGTCTCGATCATATCCCCACTTTGTGTGTTTCTCCTTTACCCTTATTTAATTATCATGATTAAATTCCTCGAAAATCGTATTGTTTCACGACACAGGTCAACTCCGTGGCCATTGGACACAATGTGTCCGGAAATTAACTTGACGTACGCTAATTGCAGAAACGAATTGCTATTACCAATAGGTAAACATGTGTGCCTGATTATTGATGTGTCGTTTATCCTGTAGTAGGTTCCTGGTGACTTCTACTGCCTACCTCTCACAAGTATAATGATAATAACAGCAGTAATAATGGAGGTGCTACTACTGCTGATAATAATGTTATTACGGTAGTAATAACAATTTTAACTAATAAAATTAATTGTGACAGTAGCACCGGATAACAAAAACAGTATTAGTAACAATAATAATATACTATTTGTAGGTTATATTCAAGTTCCCGTGTGTGTGTAACTGGCAGACGCGCGGACATATACAATACAGTACAACCATCATACAATTTCTAATTTCACTGGGAACAATAAAATCACTTGAAAACTTATCATTACAATCACTGTGGAGGTCGTACTAATGGGTGATGTGTGCAGTGACAGTAAGGTAGTTGGGAAGTGTTCAGGGTAATAGTGATGGTAAACACAACACGTCTACACTTCAGCCGCTCTGCAACATGGGGGAAAATTGTCAAACGAAATAAAATCCTCATATGGAAATACTTTTAGTTTATATTGTGTTATGGGTAAAATTTTGTCTCGTTAACATTTATGAATGGTAATTATATTCAGAAAAGATTTGCGCTCATTAAAATGCTATAATATTTTTTGTTTTTGTTTGTTTAAACAGAGGCTGGGATATCCACCCTCGTGTTATGACAAATTTGGTGATCGTGTTGCGTTTTAAGAATAATTATGACTAGTATCTTTTTTTTTACGAAATTTTGAACTGTTCTGTATATAGGGATAGATCCATATAGACACTAAAGAGAAAAATATTTAATAAAAATAGTCTTTATGTGTACAGTAATTTAGGGTGGATTGAATAAGAAACTTTGGTATAGGTGCTGGAACACATCTTTGAAGAGGGTAATTGATCATCTTTGAAGCGGGTAATTGATCATCTTTGAAGCGGGTAATTGATCATCTTTGAAGCGGGTAATTGATCATCTTTGAAGCGGGTAATTGATCATCTTTGAAGCGGGTAATTGATCATCTTTGAAGCGGGTAATTGATCATCTTTGAAGCGGGTAATTGATCATCTTTGAAGAGGGTAATTGATAATAAAAAGTAAATTTGATTGCGGAAGTAAACAGTTTGTCGCCGAATTTAAACACTTAGGGAGTTTGAGTGATTATTCTGGATATAGTAACGGTCATTTTCACATGGTTCCTTGTTGGTGAAAATGGCGACTGGTAAACACGTGTATAAACATTTTCATCGTCATTTTCGTTAAGGATTTCCACCATTGATGATTTAGTCACATTCACATTTTAAAGGCAATTTTCATAAGGTTGTTCACATTTGATGAACATGAGCTATGGTTCATTAACTGTTCGAATCATTTTCAATATATTAATGATCACTTTCTCCCCCTCCCTACCCACCCGTACACTTATGAAAATGACTCAAAATTATCACTGATCATTTTCACGGGGTTAAAGTATATACCATTGATGAAAGTGATGACTGATGAGTGTTGCGCCCACCATTGAATATGAACCTTCGTCTCCGGCGTTTAAATATTCATCCAATCATATCAACATTTTCATGGACATTGTGGTGATGTTATTTTGTTTTATTTTTTGTCAACAACAGCTGATGATTACATTTGCATACCACCTGAACACCACCAATAACACGGGATTAGCAGTCACGGTAAATACGGAGTAACACGGCTATCTGATTTGGTATTAGTGTATATATTGTTAGTTCGGAATTATTTGACGAATGTTTAGAAACTTTATTAAATGTCTAAGGGAAGATAATTATGAAGTGGCGGAGTTATTAAAAGACGGTGATTTAATTCCTTTGAGGACGATGATTTAACCCCTTGAGGACGATGATTTAACCCCTTGAGGACGATGATTTAACTCCTTGAGGACGATGATTTAACCCCTTGAGGGAGGACGATGATTTAACCCCTTGAGGACGATGATTTAACTCCTTGAGGATGATGAATTAACCCCTTGAGGACGATGAATTAACCCCTTGAGGACGATGATTTAACCCCTTGAGGACGATGATTTAACCCCTTGAGGACGATGATTTAACCCCTTGAGGACGATGATTTAACCCCTTGACAACGATTTAACCCCTTTGAGGACGATGATTTTGAGGACGATGATTTAACTCCTTTGAGGATGATTTTTGAGGGAGGACGATGATTTAACCCCTTGAGGACGATGATTTAACCCCTTGAGGACGATGATTTAACTCCTTGAGGACGATGATTTAACCCCTTGAGGACGATGATTTAACCCTTGAGGACGATGATTTAACCCCTTGAGGACGATGATTTAACTCCTTGAGGATGACCCCTTGAATTAACCCCTTGAGGACGATGAATTAACCCCTTGAGGACGATGATTTAACCCCTTGAGGACGATGATTTAACCCCTTGAGGACGATGATTTAACCCCTTGAGGACGATGATTTAACCCCTTTGAGGACGATGATTTCATCTCGTTACGTCAGAATTTCGTAATGTTGTGTCCGTGTGTGAAGACTAGAGTAGACGTTCGTTTGGTCTTATCAGTGTGTGGCCGCCTTTGTGCAGGTCTCACAGAGGGATGAAATATATTGTAGGTCATTTGGAATAATTTTACCCACAGGAAATATATTCATTACAAGATATATATATATATAGTTTTCGTTTTTGTTGTTTTTTTGGTGTTTTTTTTTTATTTTTTTTTTTATTTATTTATTTTTTTATTTATTATTATTATTTTTTTACTCTTGTTTTAATTTTCTTGTGTTTTTGTTGTTTTTATTTTGTTTTTCAGTGTTGAGTATATACAAAACAAGGTATATTTTGTTTGTTTTTCTGTTTGATGTTTTTTCTATGTTGGTGAATAAATATAAAGCTTATATTTTTATTCCTCCCGGACCGAAATACCACAAGGAACCTAACCTAACCTAACCAAACCTGACCTAACACAGGGCACAGAACATTAAGTGGTGATGTTGTTTTCCGTTCGATAAATTTCTTGAGACAGGACGAAGTATGTATTAAATTTGGTGTTAAAAACGGTATTATTATATGACCTTACTTGGTTTATTTTCGGGAGGTTGACCTTTGACCCATGTAATTTTAAACGTTACAGAGGGAGTGAACATATTTTTTAGTTTTTCTTTATTTTCATTGTCTTATTTAACGTACTATATCGAGAGGTAAATCCGTTATATCGAGAGTCCGTTAAATATGAAACTCCCGAACTAACGGATTATATCGATGAAAGTCCGTTAAATCTGAAACCCCACGGATTATATGGAGAAATAAGTCCGTTATTTGGAGGGTTTACTGTAGCCAACTATTCCTACCGAGAAATTGTGCACAGGTCACACGGGAAATGAGTTATTAATAGGATACTGTATAGGAAATGTAGTCAATTTTCCCAAGTATTTTCATTTCCTTTCTACAGCGGCAAAGGAGAATTCAGTGGATATTTCACTACTATTGAAATACCGATATGTGTTTAATTGACTTATTGCTTCCAAAATACTTAAACATTACTTTTAATTAATTATTGATTATTTACGTACTTATTTCGTATTTTAGATAGAGAGGGAGAGAGAGGAAATAGATGGAGAGAGAGAGGAGGTAGATAAAGAGAGAGAGAGAGGAGAGAGACGAAAGAGAGGAGAGACGAAATAGAGAGAGAGAGAGAGACGTGACTTAGGTTGTTTTGAACTATTCAAGTCTCAGAGAGTAATACAAATGAGAAAAACCCATGAATAGGAAGAGTTCAGGGAAGCTGTTTCAAAGGTTCTTTGTTAAGGGGAAGACAAAATACCTGAAATTGATTCTCCTTACTTGAATTGCAAGAGTTTGAGAGACTGATGACGAACTTCTGGCAAGTGGAGACTGGTGGATTCTTGTTAACACTGTGTTGTGAGGGAGAGTTTTTAGAGCCTTGGAAACACTGTGTTGTGAAGGAGAGTTGTTAGAGCCTTGTTAACACTGTGTTGTGAGGGAGAGTTTTTAGAGCCTTGTTAACACTGTGTTGTGAAGGAGAGTTGTTAGAGCCCTGTTAACACTGTGTTGTGAGGGAGAGTTGTTAGAGCCCTGTTAACACTGTGTTGTGAGGGAGAGTTGTTAGAGCCTTGTTAACACTGTGTTGTGAAGGAGAGTTGTTAGAGCCTTGTTAACACTGTGTTGTGAGGGAGAGTTTTTAGAGCCTTGTTAACACTGTGTTGTGAGGGAGAGTTGTTAGAGCCCTGTTAACACTGTGTTGTGAGGGAGAGTTGTTAGAGCCTTGTTAACACTGTGTTGTGAAGGAGAGTTGTTAGAGCCTTGTTAACACTGTGTTGTGAGGGAGAGTTTTTAGAGCCTTGTTAACACTGTGTTGTGAAGGAGAGTTGTTAGAGCCCTGTTAACACTGTGTTGTGAGGGAGAGTTGTTAGAGCCCTGTTAACACTGTGTTGTGAGGGAGAGTTGTTAGAGCCTTGTTAACACTGTGTTGTGAAGGAGAGTTGTTAGAGCCTTGTTAACACTGTGTTGTGAGGGAGAGTTTTTAGAGCCTTGTTAACACTGTGTTGTGAAGGAGAGTTGTTAGAGCCCTGTTAACACTGTGTTGTGAGGGAGAGTTGTTAGAGCCCTGTTAACACTGTGTTGTGAGGGAGAGTTGTTAGAGCCTTGTTAACACTGTGTTGTGAAGGAGAGTTGTTAGAGCCTTGGAAACACTGTGTTGTGAGGGAGAGTTTTTAGAGCCTTGTTAACACTGTGTTGTGAGGGAGAGTTGTTAGAGCCCTGTTAACACTGTGTTGTGAGGAAGTTATTTAGAGCCTTATTAACACTGTGTTGTGAGGAGAAAGTTGTTGGAGCCTTGTGTGTGTGTGTGTGTGTATGTATGTATGTATGTATGTATGTGTTAGGGGAGGGGGGGAGAGGTTACATTTAACACACTTGACTTGTAGAGTAACCTGTCCAGCGTGTAGACTTCAGGTGTGTGTAGTGAATTAATATGAAGAAGATCATGAAAGGGGTAACTTGTGTAAATCTGTTTTTTCCCATTGGTCGTGTAGGGGAAAACAAGAGTTGATATCCAAAGGTAATCTTCCTCCCCCCTGTTCGTTATCTAGGCTAGTTATGCATCAGGGAGTGTGTGTAATAAATGTAATAAATCCTATGTGCTATTTTTTTTTCCTATTTGAGTATGATGGTGAAATGAGTCCAGTGGATAAGGTTAGGTTAGGTTAGTATGATATGTTAACCCCTTGAGTACATCTTAAGTCATTGTATTGAAGGAATTATAATGTAAGTCATGAACAAAGGTAATTAGACAGTATGTTGGGTTTATACACAGTGGAACCTCTATTTAACGGGTTTATATGAAGAGGAAAATCCGTTATATCGAGGGTCCATTATATGTGAAACCCCATCTAACGGACTAAGAGAGAAGTCCGTTATATCAAGGGTCCGTTAAATGTAAAACCCCTATCTAACGGATTATATGAAGAAAACTCCGTTATATAGAGGGTCCGTTAAATGTAAAACCCCCATCTAACGGATTATATGAAGAAAACTCCGTTATATAGAGGCTTCACCTTAGTCACCCAAACAAAATAATAACCCCAAATTATTACGTAAATAAATAAATGTCGTGTTTTTGTTCCGTAAACTTTGGGTGAACTCGTTGAACAAAGCTGTATAGACGGCAGCATAAGTTGACTCATACTACCTTAACCTGTGTACAATATTTCGTGAGTAGAAAAGTTTCAGGGAATAATATTATTGGTCTGATGTGCGCCGGTACTGAGTTGGCTATTGAATGGTTGAGAATTTTTTTGGTGTTGATGATGATGGTGGTGGTGGTGTTGATGATGGTGTTCTTTTTTTTATGTTCAGTTGTTCTTCTGTTCTTTTGTTTATGTTCAGTTGTTCTTCTGTTGTTCTGTTGTTCTTTTGTTTATCTTCAGTTGTTCCTCTGTTGTTTTGTTGTACTTCTGTATTTTTGTTGTTGTGCTGTTCTTATTCTGTAGTTGTTCTTCTGTTGTTAGGTTGTTTTCTTCTGTTGTCCTTCTTCTGTTGTTATTCTTCCTCTTCTCTTTTCAGAAAAAAACATCACAAACACCAGCCCAGTGACACGCTATCCACCTCACCTCACCTTGCGCCAGCCTTACTAAACCTTAATTAACTACGACCCTTTAATGCTTCCCTTAGTAATTTTTTATACTGTTTATCTTAATTAGAAACTTGATATGTGTCTACATAATGCTCTTAACTACCATTATTAAACGGTATATCACTATAAGAAACTACTATTATTAAACGGTCCTAGGGGGCTTTTGTCCTAGGGGGCTTTTGTCCTAGGGCTTTTTGTCTAGGGAACTTTTGTCCTAAAGGGGCTTTGTCTAAAGGGGCTTTTTGTCTAAAGGGCTTTTGTCCTAAGGGGGCTTTTGTCCTAGTGGGCTTTTGTCCTAGGGGGCTTTTGTCTAGGGGGCTTTTTTGTCTAAAAGGGCTTTTTGTCCTAAAGGGGCTTTTTAGTAGGCTTTTTTGTCTAGGGGCTTTTGTCCTAGTGGGCTTTTGTCCTTGTGGGCGTTTGTCCTAGGGGGCTTTTGTCCTAGGGGGCTTTTGTCCTACACCCGTCTCGGTAGGGTCGCCAAAGTCTTCGTCCGCTGTGTCATATTGTCTCACGAAATTGTAAAGATATTTTTGGATGATGTACAGAAATATATTTTAAAAAAAGGTTAATTAAATGAAGCTCCTGAGGTAACATTGTCGCTTTAGAAATATTTGTTGACGTAGACTAAATTGGGACCTGGCTGACGTTCTGCCTGTAGCCATATTCATCCTCCCTTACTGACATATTGATGGATTGTAAGGCCAGAGGTGGTAAACAGTTGTTGATTGTTCCTCATTTTTTAAACGCACCTTAAAAAAAAAAACTTGGTGCCCGATTACCTAATTAGGCAACCTAACCTAACCGTACCTAACGTCACAATATTCCTCAAGTTGAAGGTCAAAGGTCACAATATTCCTCCAATTTAAAGTCAAAGGTCACAATATTCCTCAAGTTGAAGGTCAAAGGTCACAATATTCCTCCAATTTAAAGTCAAAGATCACAATATTCCTCAAGTTTAAGGTCAAAGTTAACAATCTTCCTCACAAGTCAAGACCAAAGTTCGGGGTCAAATATAACTCCTATACAAAGGTGGTGTCAGGTCCTGGAAAATGATTTATATTGACTTGTATCTGTCCAAGAGCCACCAGAAATAGTGTCGTCATTTGATCCCAGAAGTATTACACTTTTGATATCCGGGACACAATTGTAGATGTGATATTGTCCCTGCGTTATTTTTAGTGTGTGTGTGTGTGTGTGTGTGTGTTTGAGAGAATGTGTGTGAGAGTGTGTGTTAAGTGTGTGTGTTCAGAATTCCGTCTAATTATCAGTTATTTCTAGAATTGTCACTCCATTCCATTATTTTATGACTTGTTTTTTTTTTTTTAACTTCTTTCTGCTTCCTGCGTGACTTGGTTTTTGTTTTAAATTACTCTCACCAACTGACGTACACTTTACAGCACCCTCGATAATTGGTCTCCACGGTGAAGAGTTTTCCAATACAGGTGAGGAGAGGAGGTGGAGGGAGGTTAAAGGATGGGACCCCAGATGTTTTATAGTTGGGGGAGTGTCCGTGGGGAGGTTAATGCATGGGGCTCTAGGTATTGATGGTTAGGAGGGGTGAGGAGGAGGGAGGGGAGGGGAGGGGGGGATGGAGAGGGGAGGGGGGATGGAGAGAGGAGGGGGGGTAGTGATGTTCCCATTTCTGCTCCTCACTACAAACAGGTGATGATACAGTGCTGCTTTGTTCTTAGTTATCCGTTATTCTGTTTCTTCTTTCTGTTCTTATCCGTCTTTTTGTCTCTTATTTGTCCTTGAGTACTATGAACTCATCCCTTGAGTAGAAGCCATCATTGTACTCAAGGAAGTAGGTTATCGTACTCAGGGTTAACATATTTTTTACTTCATTAAAGGATTAAGTTATCTTATTGGACTCTCTTATAACTTAACCATTGGGCTTGAAAGACGAGTCCTAACCTAACCAAACCATTAGAATTATGGTCCATTGCTAAGGATCCCTAATTCCAGTGTTTAAGTTAGGTTTTGGGGGCCCATTAGGACTGGGGCCCATTAGGACTTAGGGCCTATTTAAGACATCATCTCTCCATTTTCCAATCATATAACCGTGTTTTTGGCATGAGGATCCTGTTATGTTTTCCAATTTCCAGGAAGTCTTAATTAACTCCTAACTCTCCCCCTTCGTCAGGTTGTCTTCCTAACGAATACCAGTGTGGGGAGACCTGCATTGACCTGGTGCGTCGCTGTGACACACATCCCGATTGTCCCGACGCTGCCGACGAGGTTAACTGTGGTGAGTATTGGGGTCATGTTGGGTCAAGGTGGCTCTCAGTCTTGGGTGCACACAGGTCATGATAGGTCACAGGTACAGTCTGGGTTTTTATTTTATACAGGTCAAGAGGGGTCAAATACACTCACGGTGAACACGGAACATAGCAAACTGAACACGGTGCACTCACGGTGAACACGGAACATAGTAAATTGAACGCAGTGCACTCAAGATGAACTCGGTACTCTTTAAAAGTGAATAACAATGGATTCTAGGCAAACATCTTGCCTTAAGAGTGAACATATAGTGCATTCTCGTGAACAACAGTGCACTGTAGGTGAACAGGTTACACACACGATGCAAAAGGATCATTAAAGTTGAATATATAAAATAAACATCATGAAGTGAACAAGATTGAATGCACTCAGGCGAACAAGGAGTACTTTTAGTGAAACCAAGTTCACTCATGAAGAATAAACTTGGGAACTTGAAGCGAGTATTTACCTCCCAGTGTACCCAAAGACTCGTCCAATAGTTCGTTTTAAATAAATTGAACGCAGTGCACTCAAGATGAACTCGGTACTCTTTAAAAGTGAATAACAATGGATTCTAGGCAAACATCTTGCCTTAAGAGTGAACATATAGTGCATTCTCGTGAACAACAGTGCACTGTAGGTGAACAGGTTACACACACGATGCAAAAGGATCATTAAAGTTGAATATATAAAATAAACATCATGAAGTGAACAAGATTGAATGCACTCAGGCGAACAAGGAGTACTTTTAGTGAAACCAAGTTCACTCATGAAGAATAAACTTGGGAACTTGAAGCGAGTATTTACCTCCCAGTGTACCCAAAGACTCGTCCAATAGTTCGTTTAAAGAATAAACTTGGGAACTCAGCTAATATTTACCTCCCAGTGTACCCAAAGACTCGTCCAATAGTTCGTTTAAAGAATAAACTTGGGAACTTGAAGGCTGAATATTTACCCCAGTGTACCCAAAGACTCGTCCAATAGTTCGTTTAAAGAATAAACTTGGGAACTTGAAGCGAGTATTTACCTCCCAGTGTACCCAAAGACTCGTCCAATAGTTCGTTTACAAAATGGAAGAGTTATATTTTTGTCACGTTGTCACCTGCTTCATTTACATACATTAATTTGTTCCCGTCACTGATTGGGTGAAGGGGAAAGAGTGGTAAGTTTTGTGTGTTTGGGGGAAAAGAGAGAAGCGTTGTAATTAGTGTGTGTGTGTGTGTGTGTGTGTGTGTGTGTGTGTGTGTGTGTGTGTGTGTGTGTGTGTGTGTGTGTGTGTGTGTGTGTGTGTGTGTGTGTGTGTGTGTGTGTGTGTGTGTGTGTGTGTGTGTGTGTGTGTCAACAATTGATACACGAATGATTATATAGTAGCAATTTTGATATAGGTAATTACAGTGAAGATAGTAGTACGAATATAATAATAATAATAATAATAATAATAGTGTGTATGTAAGAAAAGGACCAGAAGCCATTGTATCACTTAACCTAACCTAATTAATTTGCTCGCTAGTCACCTGCTCTCTAGACTATACAAGCCAATCTCTTCTCATTAACCTGACTTAACCTAGCCTAACCTAGCTTGCCCTGCCTTGTGCTAACCTAACCTAACCCAACCCAGTGAGACATCTATATAACGGACTTTATGGAGAGGAAAGTCCGTTATATAGAGGGACTCTATGGACAGGAGAGTCCATTTTATCGAGGGTTCCTTCGATGTGAAACCTCTTTAACGGACTATAGGGAGAGGAAATTCCGTAATATATAGGGTCCGTTCAATGTGAAACCTCTATTTATCGGACTATATGGAGAAGGAAATCGCTATATCGAGGGTCCATTAGAAGTGAAACTTTTTTTTTTTTTTTTATTACGGGGATTAGCCCACCCGGGCACAGGTCACTGACCCACATCGGGGCCTGGGAGGCGGAAATGTAATCGTAATAATAATTATAATAATAATAATTCATAGTAAATAAAAATTAGACAGTAATAAAAATACAAAAATAAAAATAAAATAAAGATAACAATAATAATAAAGAACGAACTATATAGACTAATGTCCGTTATATCGAGAGTCAATTAGATGTAAAATCCCCATATGAAGGATAATATATAGATAAATCCGTTATATGGAGGTTTCAGAATCGGTATTTAATTTGGTCTGTGAGAATACCTGGCTAACTGTTTTATGGAGAATATTAAAGAATTTATTTGGTCAGTTATTGAAATTACAGTATAAGTAATTTGAGCTCTCATGGTATTGTATTAAAAGTATACATTGATGCTGTATTCCTGTATTGTATTACAAGTAGTGTATACATTGTTACATTCTTGTAATTGATTTTATTAATTTCCCTAATATTATTTTCAATCAGGAAGAATATATATATTTTTTTAATATTTTAACTGTCACTAAGTAATTATTATTTTTTATATTTTGCAATGAACTTTTAATTTATTTATTTATTTATTTTAATCTTAAGTGTGGAGTAAAATTTTCGTCTAACGGGATGGGCTGTGTGTGTGTGTAAAAATAATAATAATAATAATTAACGGTTTATTGAAAGAGCTTGTGTGTAAGTATATTATTGTATTACAGAGACGTACAATACAGTGTGTGTGTGTATTATCGTGTATGTAAGTATTTTATTGTATTCCAGAGACATACGCTTGTCCTGTAAGTTACTTCAAGTGCAACAACCACTACTGCGTCCCTAGTGAACACGTCTGTGACTTCTACGACCACTGCGGCGACGCCTCCGACGAGCTAGAGTGTCGTAAGTACCTGGACTACCTGTCATATTTACCTGTTCTACCTCTTAATTACCCTTATTACCTGTCGTAATTACCTGTACTACCTGTCTTAATTACCTGTACTATGTGTTATTTACCTGTACTATTTCTTAATTACCTGTACTATTTGTGTTAATTACCTGTACTATGTGTTAATTACCTGTACTACCTGTTTTAATTACCTGTACTACCTGTCTTAGGGTGGGAGAGGGTGAGGTGGAGGAGGCAGTGATGGGGGTGGAGGGAGGCGGTGATGGGAGTGGAGAGGGTGATAAGGGTGGAAGGGGAGGCGATGAGGTGGAAGGAGGCGGTGATGAGGGTGGAAGGAGGCGGTGACGGTGGAAGGAGGCGGTGATGAGGGTGGGGAGAGGATGATTAGAGGAAGGATAATAAGGAGCCGGTGATTAGGGAAAGGGTAATGAGGGGGGCAAGTGTGACGGGGTGGAAGTTGAAAGGGATGGTGAAGTAGAGTGGAAAAAGAAACAATTAGAGAAAGAAAGAAAGAGGGAGATAGTTTTAAACACTCTGTAAACTCTTGGACAAAAGTTTAAATAACACTTAGTTTTCCCTTAAGTTCAAGTTTGTTGACATGGGGGAACTCTCTTTTATTTTTCTTTACAACGTCTAAAGATACTATTTACCCCTCGCCATGAGAGAGATTATATATATATATATATATATATATATATATATATATATATATATATATATATATATATATATACTGTATACTATATATATATATATATATATATATATATATATATATATACTATGTATATATATATATATATATATATATATATATATATATAATATATATATATATATATATATATATATATATATATATATATATATATATATATATATATATATATATATATACTGTATATATATATATATATATATATATATATATATATATATATATATATATATATATATATATATATATATATATATACTATATATATATATATTCCACCACTAGGGGAAATTTGCTGCGACAGAAATGGCCCATCTTGTGAAGACAGTTGGTTCTTGGGAAGGAATTACAAGAACTAAACTTACCGGAGAGCTAGACAGTGACTCGCGTGGTTCTAATGCTTGCTAAGAGAACCGACAAGATCCAAGAGGTATGAAGGGGCAGCAGCTTTGATGAAATAGTTGCTTGGGGAATTTCATTAATACTAAGCTTGTACCTACCTGTATATTGATTCCAGGTTCCGGTGGTCGTGGTGATTAAAATGGACAGAGAGAAGAAGAGGGCGAGAGAGACAGGTGTAGGGGAGAGAGACAGAAGGGATGGGACAGAGAGAGAGAGAGAGGAGAAACACGAATAGACAGACATTAGTAATGACGTAATCTGGAATGTGATTGGCCAGGAATATTGTTTTACTCTTTCCCAGTAGTTCAGTGACCTTTGACCCCGACCAGTTGTGTGTTCAGTGACCTTTAACCCCCACCAGTTGTGTCCAGTGACCTTTGACCTCAATTATCTTGAATTTGGAGGTGTGTGTGTGTGTGTGTAAGAATCCCCTCCCATTCTCTTTTACTATATTCTTACCCTCACCCTTCCATCTCCACCCACTGCCCTTCTTTCCCTTCACCACTATGGTCCGTAGGTTAGGGAAGGTCACTAATCAAGTCCTCTCCACAAATCTGGTCAGTAAAGGTCACTCACTAAACCACACCCCTTCTTCCAGATCACCGTCAGTGCTGGAAAGCGGAAT